TACTCCACGAACGCGCTACGATGACAAAGTTGCAATGAAGCACATCCTCTACACCAAACTGGCACAGCTCCCCGGCTGCGATTCTGAAGGACGTCAACTTCAAACACTGTGCGATCGCATGATTGCTCTCATTCGGCAATTTTCTGACAACAAAGACGACCCCAACGAAACGGTTCTGGGAGCAATCTTACTCAACAAACAACCTGCAGGAGTGAAGAGCAGAATATATGACATGACGACAAATTCTCACAACCTGCCGCCAAATGAACTCTTGCGCCTGCTCACCGAAGTTGTACGTAAGGATGAAATTCTACTAGGAATGAGTTATCATTCCAGACCACATCAACCACAACAGGACCAGTATGAAAGTTTTCATATCACCATGAAGCCGAAAAGTCAGCGTCAACTCATAGCACCATGTTCCAGGCTAAGACTTGAGCCGTGCCCGTACTGCAATAATCGCTACCCCCACCATTTTTTGCGATTCATTTTCGACACCTCATCAAAGAAGCATACGAGTGAAAGAACTACGCCTCTGATTCAATTGCTTATCCAATCAACATCCTACGAGGGACTGCCTATCCAAACGTGCCTGTAAGTTCTGTAGCAAGCGTCATCATTCGTCATTGTGCTTTTCTCAAGGACAACTTTCACATCAGAATGAAATTTCTCCACCGGTAACAACTCATAACTCCTACTCAAAACGTAGCCAACCTCTTCAACAAAGTGTTCACGTTGTCGAGACGTCTCAAGATGGAACAACGGATCTCAATTCCAAAAGTCCTGAAAATGCTACTGCCGCATGCACATTCGCCGCTCCACCGAAATCAAAACATGAACGTTTTCCACAGACCACATTCATGTGCATTCCGGTTTGTCTTTTCAATCCTTCCCATTCTTCTCTAGAAACCACAGTGACAGCATTTCTCGATTCCTGTCTCAGCCAATCATATATTACGAAAGAATTAGCCAAATCCGTTGGGATTTCTAACTCCACTCACTCTTATTGAAAAACTGTTTCTACAGCCACTATGGAAAAGTGACATAGGATGGGACGACACGTTATCCGAAGAACACGAAAAAGATGGCAGGAAATCGTCAATCAATGACAAGATCTTTATTCGACATCGATCGCGTCATTGTCGATACAGAAACGCTTCCCAATTCCGACCAATTCGACCTCCATGTCTTCGCCGATGCATCTGGATATGCGTACTGCGCAGCAGCTTATCTTCTACACCATCGCACCGACTCTCCACACAAAGTTTCGCTTCTGATGGCGAAATCAAGACTAGCTCCGCTTCGCTTCGACTACTATTCCACGTCTAGAGTTATCAGCCATCGCTGCAGGTGCCAACCTACTTTCGTTCCTTGCAGAACAACTCGATATGAAAATTCGTCGAAAATATTTTTGGTCTGACAGTGCCGTTGCACTAGCATGGACTACGTCTTACAAAACCCTACGAATATTCGTTCGCAACCGTGTTTGTAAAATTCGTGAACTCACAACCGTTGTCACTATCCGTTGCGTTCCAACAGCGGAAAATCCAGCGGTTATCGGCTGTCGGGGGACATCTGTCTTAATACTACAAAATTTGGCTCACTGCTGGCACGGAACTACCATTTTAACAGAGGATGTAACAACTTGGCCTCGAAACTCAGGTCAAGAAACTACAGTTGAAAATCCATCATTTCAAGAAAGCGAAAAACAATCTTTTCCCTCATCACTAGCAGCAACGCAAAATGTTCTCCAAGAACAGCCATTATTAGACTCGTCACGATTCAGCACGTGGGATTCGTTATTCGCTACTGTAGTGTTTGTACTACGCTTCCTTACTACCGGATCCAAGAAAGCAGCCTCGTTCATCGGAACTAGTGGAGCACTCCTTCAAACTCGAGCAGAACGAGTTTTATTTCGCCTGGCCCAACAGCAGTGCCCCCCTTCGAGCTGCAACGTCAGCTGCATCTCTTCCACTGTGATGCGACACATCTTTGGAAATCACGAGGACGCATCGAGGCCGCTACACTCCTTCAGGAAGCGAAGACTCCAATCTTCTTCCATCCAGAAACCATATCACTGACCTCTTCGTTTTATATGTACGTATTGGGCTCTTCTGCTCACTTGTCTAAATACGTGGGCGTCGTTCTCAACATGAGCAGTAACGTTGTACTTCACGTTCTACGTCGCTTCATCGCAAGTACCGTTTGTCCGTCATGGATACTTTGTGACAACGCTCAATCCTTCAAGACAATCGCGGAATGCTAGTCGGCAATGCCTGAAGCCAACATGGGTAGAGACATTCTAGACTACTGCTCCGAGAAACGAATCCAAGTGAAGTTTATACCGAGCCTAAGCCCGTGGCAAGGAGGTTTGTACGAAAAAATGGTAGACGTCTTCAAAAAATCCTTCAAGCACTCTATTAAAAATCGTCTACTACACATCGAAGACATAAGGACGTTTACCAAGGAAACAGAAGCCATTTTAACACAAGACCTTGACCTATATTACTGATGAAGTAGACTATTTCCCATTACGCCCTGTTGATTTTCTCCGTCCATATGCACAACTCTCCGGACCTTATCCTCAAGA